CGGCCAAGACAAGAAACCGAGCGCTCACCGCGTCTCCGACAGCCCCAGCTCGCCCGGGCAGCGGTGGGAACAGCAGCACAGGCGATCGGCAGACTGGGTTTCGCCCGGTCCGGGGCAAAGCTTTCTATACTTCCTTGGGAAAGACTGGGTTTGCGTCAGTGCATAGCAAGGTGCCCTTCGTTTGACATTTTCTTGATAATAAGAGTTTGATAAATCATTACCCTTGGTTTCAGATTTTAAAGGGACAACAAGGAGCCGGAGCGCCGGCTAGCTGTCACTCAGGTGGCAGCGTGATTGCGTGTTCCGTGTGACTCATGTGGGGGCCGACTACTAAACCAAATCCAGAAAGAGCACGGAAGAACTTTCTTGCCGGCAATTAGAGGGAACATGTGAGAAACACGTACTACTGCACCCAAACCAAGGGAGCAATGGGGAGAAACCTTCCATTTCTACCCCTCTCCCCCCTTCCGGTTCCCGTAGTGTTTGATTCCTCTTTTTTTTCCCTGCAGTTCGCACTTGGATCAGACGTTCAGCTTTTATACACATGTTTTTAAAATTACAATTTTTTAAATGTATCTCCGCATACCTATACCCACAGAGAGAAGCTCACTGCGTATAAAGTACACAAACATATTTTAATTGTGTCTTCCCTGTTCTCGTTGCACCAGACAACACTACATCGTTTATTTTTACTGTGCTTATTGGGGGGGACACCCTCAGCCCTAATTACATTAAAACGATACACACAATAAAGAAATCTTCTCTTTCAACAGAGCTATCTTAAGAACGGCTCAGTAGGAGCAAAGATGACGGCAACGGCAGCCAAGTTGACGGTGTTCTTCCCCACCCATCAAAACGTTTACGTTTGAGAACTGGGAGGAAAATTATTCATCGTTAAAAGTCAGATGCTAACCCAGAATGGGTTTTGCAACGAAGTAATTTACCCCTAATCACCTCTCGTGTGAGTTATTTGCTATTTGAGAGGCTTTCTCAAAGACCCGTTGCGCACAAGGCAACGTTGCTCACGCTGGCAAAAATTAAGGGCGCATTGGCAAAGCGGGATGCTCCCTCAGCAACCTTCCCAGCTGTTTCAGCGTCAGAGATGCTGTTTCTCCGCATAAACTCTGCTAGCATCAGCTTCTCCGGAGAGCCTTCTCTGTTTCAGCGCAAGCAGTGGGAAGTGGACGCCTGCTCGGGGGAGGGGAGGAGAGGAGGGGACTAAACTCGCCAGCACCACACGCCTTCCTCGCGCGCCCTTGATTTGACGGGTTACTACCGCGGGTTTCCGCGGACAGAGTAAATACAAAAAATTCGCAGTGGCCCAGCCAATTCCGCAAAGGTGCTGTCAGGAGCTGCTAGCTTCCCCCCCCCGCCCCCTCCCCGCCAC